CCCCTCGCCATAAAGACGAGTGACACACAGGGCTTCAGACAATGGAATATTATTTGGAATGATCAATGGTACATAAAATAGAAAGTAAATATCAAACTTGTAGTGCTAGGAGTTTCTATATGGCAGGTTCATTACAAAAAGTAGAAAGATAATTAGGTTAAGAATATATAACATTTTCTGGAAATACATGTCATATGGGACAAGTGTGCCTAGGGATGGGCTTTTTTCTACATAAAGGAATCTGATCAGTAGTTAAGATAGTACAGTGTGTTAGTAATATGACCACATATATTGTCAACCCAAAAGTAATGACGCAAATCTACAAAATAATAATAATAAAAAAAAAATTCTGGAAGGAAAAACAAACTGAAGTGTTTGTACACTGTTTGTTAGTTACTAATATAATGCTCAGAAAACACTTTCATTACAGAAACAGCAAAAAAGGAGGTAGATCTGTAACTGTTCTACCAGAATTCTTGTAATTTTACCTGTTACTATATGCAGCTCATTTTTTGTATGTCTCCATTAATAAACTATTGCCCCTCCCAGTAACTAGTTCATCTACGCTGTTTGAATTTTGACACTATCCATTTACACTGACCCCAAGCAACAACCTAACTCCTTCTCTGAGGCACTGTACATGTTTCTTTAATTAAGCAGGTTTCATTTGTTAACACAAACGGTGTTGGTGTATTTTTATATTCCAGAGAATTTTCTGTGTAACTGGGTATTCAAGATGTCATAACGCTGCATCAGACTTGATTATTAATGCTTAAGGGTACATTTGTATTGCCACATATGTTGGCAGATAGCATTTAGCAGGGGTGGCACTTTATGTAGAGATTCCCTTTAAAATTACATAAGGAAATTTTGTTCTGAGGCTTTCATGGACACAATGTGAGGGTGGTGGTATTCCGAGAATGATATCAGGGTTTGATTGAAAGGTAAAAAATCTAGTTTTCTTTGCTATGATATTATGTTTATAAACTCGGGAAACAAGACAAAATTTTGTTTGGCTGAATAACATCTTCATTACACTATAGTATGGAATGACGTCTAATACCCCCTGCCCCCCTGAAAAACTTATAAGCAATGATAAACTGTCTTATGTGTCTGCCTACCTGGAAATGGAAAATGAGGGAAATGTTATAAAAATAATTTGTAGTAACTTGCCTAAAACATTAACATCAAATTGTAGTTCTTTG